AGGTATATGGGTAGTGAAGCATTCTTGGGTATCTTAAGAATGCTAAATGCTCATGTTGGAAGAGTGCCTGGGCTGGTGAGTGCTTCAGAAGACGAAACGAACGTTAGGATCATCAGCAGGTTGACCATCAAGCGATGTTATGTATTTGCCAGAGCAACCATCGAGACTGTGTAGTTGCACCGATCGAGAAGTACACCAAGAACTGACAGCTATTTCAGGCATTTTAAGTAAATTAGCACAATTAGTCAGTCTTAAACTCATCACTCTGTATAGGGTTGCTTATTTGGGAGATCTAAATGGCAATACTTCCAGAGTGTTTTCATTAATTATCAAAATTCGATTGTGCTCCTCCTCTCTACGGTAGTTCAAAGCAATGCCAAACAAACTGTGTATGTTAACGCATAGACGAATCCAGGCCCCCGTCCTCTTTCGATTTCCTAGCCAAGGATATTCATTGTTTATACCTCTAAAATTTCTACAACACTTACAATGTCAAAGTCAAAAGTCAAAACCCTGTCCTCCTTCGCTCCCTGTGTGAAGCGAGGGCACTCAAATGCAGTCATACTGGTAGCAAATGCCAACAGCAACCACACGCTGGCAAAACTGCCAATGACCCTCCTGTTTTGAGGATTGCTCGAATAGCAAGTTAATGGTGAGCCCGAATCCCCGACAAATGGATCCACGAAATTTTTAACGACCATCTCTCATACAACCCCACTGCAAGCATGACAAAAAAGCCGAGCCCGAAGCAAGGCCGCTATTTATACTGGTTTAATCAATCGATAATTATACAAATTTACCCAAGAATGGTGTTGGACTGGGTGCAACCATGAAATCCGAAATCAGCGAACGACGACGACGTGCATCCGATTCCGCATGCGTTTCCTGAAATTGGCAAAGAAATCAATTTTCACAGTGCATAAATCAGCTTTTATTCAACAGATGCAAATTAAAGGCAAAAGCTAGCTGTGACGGAGAGAACGATGGAGCGAATAAACAATCAGACTTTTCGTCAGGCGAAAGACGTGCAGAGTGATGATAATCAACGCAACTGCGAGAAAAGATAAAATGCGACAGACAAAACATGTTGATTTGTTTTTACGAGAGCTGGTGGACATCTCATTTTACACGTAAAAGAAACTGACCACTTGGATGGTATCCGAAGAGATTAGCACCAAGTGTAAGTACAGATGCAAAACGTGGTTATTAACGAAAGCAGAAGAGCAATGCTGCTGGCTGTGTTTACACGACAGACTAGAAGTAGTCTTTATTTTAGAGTGTTGCAATTGTTTAGCTTTTTAGTTAAGGAAATAAAAGTTCAATAATTACAACATTCTAAATTTATTTCACTTTTTTTCTTAATTTTAAATACGAAAGTTTAGCACAGATGCAGTTATTGAACATTTGAATGGAACGAACCTGACGGGGTTTCGCGGCAACGGCAGTGGCTTGTCGGATGGGATGTGATTGTGCCATCTGATGGCCCTGTTGTCGAAGGGCAGTAAGGCGTTGCATCTGTACGGCTTGGGCTTGACTTTGCTCAAACTGAGCTTGCTGCTGCGCCGCAGATGCAGCTTTTTGTTGACTCTGCGATTGGGCTTGTTGAGTTTGAAAAGCCTGTTGTTGTTGCTGCTAAAATTGAACTCGATTAATTCTGG